TGTGGGTCTAGGCCGGCGTTCGACGACCCGCGCGGCACACTTAGCGTCGCCCGCGCACGATTGTGCTTTCACGCCCCGCTCGAGGGTGGGGGCAGGGCACTTCAATCGTAGCAAGCTGAGGGAAATTCCGCCGGATTTCAAATGTACAGAATAGCGAACATAATAAAGCTTTTAAATGATATATGTAAATTTCCATTTTAAAATTATTGGCAAACAGTATTTTATTTTTAACTTTGTAATTTATCTGCGCACGAGTATTTATATACTATGATGGGTTTTATTATAGATTAGAAGGTATTAATATTTCTTATCGGACTGTGTCGTATGAGGAATGCCACATAACGTGATAAGAAAAGAAAGTATTACAAGTTTCTTATATTAGTAATGTGTTGATTATATAAGTTGAAGAGCGGCTGAAATAATACGTATTATGAATTTATCGGGGTGTATCACTTTGTTTAAATGAAATGGGAAAACGAAATCACATGTAAATGAATTTTGCAAGGAACAGATGAGCACATAGATTTTTATTGTACGATTTTCGAGAAGTCATGTCTGAACATTTTACTATAACAAAATAGTGTCATTGAAGAGAAATGATGTTTTAAATTGGAAATGTCTTTATACAACATAATATTTAATACAGAGTAGTTATTTTAAGTAATAAAGCATTAAATCCATTCCTTCCGGTCAAATTTTGTGTAATATAAGTTAAAGACATGTCATGTCATTAAGAATAATGGTCGAACATTCGCGCACGAAATTCTTTCCATGCACATTTCCATTATAATATATTTACTACTTAAAAAGAATAAATAGAGTTACGTCAATAAAAAATGAGGTCTCACTGATCTTTTATTGCAACGAAGGAAGACAGGGATTGTTTGGGTTATCAGTATTTAACCTCGAGGTTATAATGAACGAAACGTGCCTGCCCGATGTACACGTGATATTGAAAATAGACAGGCTTTATCTATAATAATATATTTATAAAAAAAGTCATAAGCATGAGAACTAATAATTTCTGTTATATTTAATAAATGAAAACAAACCTTTTATAAAAGTAGTAGAAATATTCTTGCATAGTAACAATATATTTGACTTGATTATGGCGCGTCCAAGCGTCGTAGGGAACAAGATGACTTTTAAATGAAATCATTTTTATGTATAAATTACTCAAAATGTAAACTACAATGGGTTTATTAAAACAACATCGGTAAACATTTGTATTTAGAAGTAAATATAAACTAAATAATGTTACAACTCTACCCATAAATATCACAACTCATAGACCTTAATGTGACGAGCGATTACTTCTAATATTTTATTTTATTCTAACCATGACATTATAAATACAAGTAATCAAAGTAAAGCCTAAATTCAAACCTTAACAAAACTTTATTTTAAACCTTGTTAAGGTTAGGTGCAAAATATGTGTAGATAACGATTTTTGTACTCGAATATACTGACCTTGGCCAGTGTTTAGCTGTCCCGAAATCATGTCATAATCATTTCCTGGCTAAATCACTGTACTAAATTACTTAGTTGTGATCCTTTTCATGGTTAATAACAACATGACTGAATTACCAGTAATTTTATTTTTTACAATATCCCGTGCACCTGCAATGACAATGTACCTTACCAATATGGCAGACATTTGTCCAAGCAATGATGTCATATTTTTACAGATATTAAAACCAAATTAATACTTTATATTTGGACATTACTTTATATGAACATGGAGACAACAGTATTTATAGAGTAATCGCTTCTTATTTCCTTATGATTGTTTTTGAAATATGTTAGCAAGTGATTTCTAAAAGGAAATTGTTGTCGGGAAAATATTAGCAATGCTATCTGCAAATGTTTTCATATGAACGTCTTGTGAAAACGACATTTATATCGTCCATATGAGAATTTCTCGTCATTTAAAATCAATGAAGATTGAGAAAGCAACTGTTACTTTTCTATAAGACTTTTTGCTATATCATTTTCAGTAGCGTTCAGATTTGGTAAATGAGAACCAAGTCATCGATACCTATGATTTGAAATTGATTTTTCTTTTTCTTATTGACAGTAATCAGCCTGAAATATAAAACTACCAATTAGGCAAAAACGAGAATTGGCCATTTTTGTCTCCATCAAAACTTAACCTTGCCTTCTATGAATAAAATCCAACAGCGAAATGAACACAATGCCCCGAAGAGATCGCCGACAATACAATGGCCGCAGGGCTAGGGGAACGGCGATTAATTAAGCGCACTGGGCCAACTATTGTAACTAATGCATAGCTACGCAAGATAAGTGTTGGCCGCTCGTTAGCTGGTGGAGAGAACAAGGTCGGGTGATGTGGAGCAAGGTCAGAGCGGGCGGTCTTCCAGTGATAGCGTGCCCTCTGCTGTCATTATCGCCTCCATCACAAACGTTCGATGCTGCACACATACGTAGTAATAGATGTCTATATCTTTCGCTTGTGTTGACAGACGTCATAGAAATGTTAAAAGACGATGTGGATGGAGTAGAATTATTATAGAGGAAAACTTTTACAGTATGAATATCAGGCGGTGTTCTTCGTTTTGATTATAATTTTTGAGATGCAAAGAAATAAATAATGTCTTATTAATTATAATACCTATCCAAAGTATACCCTAAATGTCTGTAATCTTTGATCATCACATGTTACCGTGTTTTGTTATCTGAAAATCATTATGAATCATGCATTCTTTAACATAAACTAATCTTTCTTTACATGATTATTAAGTTATTGCCATTAGCTACACAATTCGCGACTATCTGAATATGTCGCCACTTGTAAATTCTAATAGCGAGATAAGTTCATGTTACCATAATGTTCCTTACTTCATGTGTACCAATTCAATTGTTTGTTTGCCAGTTTTGCATCATACCTTATCATAAATTTTCAAAGGAATAATCATAATATCTCAAGAAAGATTAAACTTATGTCATATATTACATCGACTTATTTGTCACGTAATTTATTATGTGCTTTTATTTGATTAGATTAGCTTCTTGTTATTGATATTTTCTATTTAGTAATGACAATACGTATGTTTGTTTAGTAACACAGTTTAATGAATAAGATTTTTTTTTAATTAGCTACGTTCTTTTAATGGTATCTTTTACTTTTAAAGTTTCTATCTGAAAATGACAGGTCTAGATTACACTCTGATAAAAAAGCTTTTTATCTGTCTTTATATCTACTGTCTCTGTTTTCAAATCAAGTTCTAAAGATAACCAAATTTTTTTGTGTTTTTTAAGAATTATTAATAAATATCTTTCTAAAATTTCTCCCAAAACAAAAATTAAACAAATCAATATTCTATATATTATACGTATTAGGAGTAAAATAAACACATGATAAATCTGTAGGAAAACATCGTGATGCAACCTGCACATATCTGAGAAGAAATTCAAAGATATGTGTGAAGTCAACCATCCCGCACTTGGCCAGCGTGGTTGACTATGGCTTAATCACCCATAACTTTGGGTAGGCTCCGAGCCCCTCGGTGGGGTCGTATAGTGAGCTGAGGATTATGATGATGATGAAATCTATCAAACGTTCAATTCAAATCGTATCCAGAACTACATAGCAACAATATTCTAAGATCATAATGTTTTATGGTTTGTAAATATTATTTATCGTCGCTAAAGTTACAAGACCTCAACCATTGACACGACATTGTATAGAACGCGACGACCCTGTCATTACTCACAGACAATAAATAACTGCGCGAACAAAAAAATAGTCTGTCACGGTAATTGATGGTCTCATTCGCCGCACGGTTACAATTAAATGAGGAGGTCCAAATAAGAGCAGGTGTGCAAAAAAATAAAAACTACATGGAAGGGAGAGAGCGTTCCGAGAACCAGTCGCAGGTATGCGTCCCGCGAACGGATGAGTGAATCTTGCCCCTATGACGTCATCCTATTTTCAAAAACACTTTATTTTCATCACAAATTACGTACTAGATAAAAGTAATTCTAATTATAAATATTGGGAACATTCAAATTCCCACCGAAGTCGCTGTAACCAAACATATCTAAAAGATTACTCGAAGAATTTGTGTTGGGTCACATCAAGAGTAATATGTTATTATTTTGGTCTAATTTTTTTTTTATTTCTTATCAAAGAATATAATTACAGCCTAAGGAAAGAATATAATAATAATAATAATATTTTTTTAGAAGTTGCATTATCCGTAAGCACTTTTCATTACTATAGTGAAGTATTAAATTGAACCGAGCAACGTCAGGTCGAATAGTATATTAGTTCCATGAAAAACTCTAAAATGTCATCTCTTTCGAGATTAGAAAAATAAAATAAAAGTAGCTCCCTAACAATAGAAACCTGTAGTTTATAGCGCTTTGTTTAAGAGCTTTTTTCGAAGATATGCAATAAATACAAAAGTAGAGCCAGTCTGCAGTTCTATCGTTCATCAGGCATACCTAGCCAAAAATTCCTTTGACTTTTTGCAACAAACTGGAGACCGACATCTGCTGCATTCATTTAAAACTAAAAAGAACAGATCGTTTCGATAAATTTTCTTTTACGAAATTCTTTCTCGAAACTGTTTACTACTTAAAACAAGTACGCATAATGCACTGCGTTTCTTCGATGAAACATCAAGTGTTTATTACATCAGTGAGGTGGATAAAAATAACTTAACTACGCAGGAAAATTCCCGGAGGGTTTATGTCGGTGCAGTTCTGAGTCATTCCGCAAAAAACATCGAATGCACTTTATCTTTCATTCAACCCTCGAGGCAGACGCTAAGTCAATGGACTAGGCGCGCATTGCATGATTCACTTGCTATTTATAGACCGTATATAAGTACTCTAAGCAGACAGATATAAGAACAGAGGGAAGAATTTGTAAGTAAATACAGCGCAATAATTGAATAACAATATTCGAAGTTATATTAAGTAGAATGAAACAATTATAATTTAAATATTAACATAATGTTTTAAACAACCATACTTGATAAAATATATATACTCAGATTCAAAGTCAACTATATTTTAGAAGTTATGGGGCAATAACGGGTACTGGTATAATGACATCTGGGAACACGGGTTGCGGAAGCGGCGCAGGAAGGATGACTCCTGGGATGACAGGCGCCGGCAGCTGCACAGGTTCGGGCACGATACCTCCAGGAATCACTGGCTCTGGTAGAACCACCGGTGATGGGTTGGGTTGAGGGTGCGGCAGCTGGATCTGATCCGGAGGGATCACTTCTAGTTCTGTGTCTTCTGGGATAGGTCTGGGTATGATTGGACTGCCGGGTTCTTGTGCTTCGATGTTCACAATAAGCTGCACGAGCGGTAGAGGGTTAGCGATAGCCACGGCTAAAACCGCGAATAAGACGATAAGAGTTCGCATGATGATTTTATCTGGAAATTAAAAAAAATGTTTGTGTACTCATATAAAATTAAAGCAATTTTTTTATCATACATTTGTAAATTATAAGTTCTAATATCCTCTAATAGTTTCGACTAATATTAATTTAGTTACCAGGTCTGTGTCAAAATGCAAGAGTTTTATCATTTGTGATCACACATTTTTTGATGTTGTATGACAATTGAAAACTTACGCACACTGAACACGGAAAAACTAATAAATTTGCAATTGGAGATTATAACAAGTTACTACTAAAAGGCACATACAATATATATTAAAAAAATTTATAATTATGAAATTAGTTTTAGATAAACTCACCTCTCTTCGAAACGTTTTTCTAGAAACTGTTTATCAATTTGGTATGAACAGTTTATATAATTTCGAAGCTATAAATACTAATCCACATAAAAATGATATCAGATAGTCTAAAAAATATCGACAAATCCTTAAATCTTGTCATAAATTTGAATAATAAATTTCCTGTATCATTGACCATTTATTTGTCCGTGGTTCGCAATATTTATCACTTTACACGTGAAATCAACATTTTATGATGTATTGTAAAAACTAACTACCAAATTACACTTGTAACTTGCTTTTTTAGGATTCCGTACCTCGAAATGAATACACCGGAACCCTTATAAGATCACTCTGTTGTCCGTCCGTCTGTCTGTCAATACCCTTATTTCTTTCTAATAATAGTTATCTTTACGTATTAAAATTAAGGATAAAAGGAGGAAGAAAATATAAAACATTACTTGACTTTGACTTTTAAAAAAGCTTTATAAATTAAAATCTTATAAGCATTTACTAAATTTAACAAAGCTCTCGATGCGAAGAGCTTTTAAGATATAAGTAGCTTTGATATCTAATTATATTAAGACCACTTAATAATATCAGATGTTGTGAGACCTAAAGAAGCTATAAGAGAAATTGCCGAGAGCTCTTAAACGAAAAAATAAAGTACGAGAAATTATTTACTTAGTATCTTACTCTGGGTATAAATTTTCTGTAAATCTTTACTAGATTTTTATATATTAAATTGAATTATGACAGTGGCGACTGACTTTTGTTTTTGTATAGTTAATGATAACTCTAAACAAAGGAGAAAACGTAGGTGTGTATCGTAAGTTTGATTAGGACTCCTTATATTTTTTTCTGAGACCAAAATCTCTGTATATCGTCATTCATGTCATTAACTTTGGCAAAACAGAGATATTTTTGAACGGTTATTTTGGTCTCAGAAACCCACAGTCAGAGATCGAATAGGAACCAAATGGTATAAACGTATTATGATCTCTTGGTATTTCAACTGTGCCCTTCATGGAATTGACAACTGAAGTTGACAAGTACCCAAGTGAGGTTCCCTTCTTAGAAACGCTTCATCGGCTGATAACACAGTTCAACGACCTATGCAATTGCAAATTATAAACAATGTGCATTGATCATTACTAAATATTTTAGTATGCAAATAGTACTAACATAGATTTCAATTTAAATCCCTATATTACATGATTTATCAAACACCACTTTAAATGTAACCCTTACGATAAATAATCTACAAACACTTAACACCAAGATTATTATTAAAAAAACGCAAAGAAATTTGCCAAAAAATACGTCTGAATACAAAGAGAAGAAGCTCACTGGAAGTGTCAGAACAACGACGTCATCTCTTAATTCTACGTTTGGCAGTGGAGATCCGTGGGAAGACAGCTTTGTAAAGTCATATCGAAATATAGAACGAAACTCCGCAACATATGACATTAGATAACTAATAAAATAATCAAATGCTACGGCTTGTTATGATCTGTCGATCTATCAATGGGTATATAGTTAATTCAAGTTTCAGATCTCTAACCCAGATACAAACCCAGTGTAGGAAAAGTCGGAAAAGTTTCAATATAAACAGGTCCACATCCACCGACCTCTAGTAGCTCCATCCGGTGGGTATCAACCGTTTATTACATTAATCCCGTATATTTTCCCGATGAACGAGTATCGCCGGCTCGTTAAATTCGTTGAGCTTGGAAAGCCCGACAATCTGCGCCAGAAGTAATAAACCAATGGTCCGTAATCATCTGAAATGTCTTTCAATAATATTCCTAGAACAATTTTTGAAGCTGCTTGTTTGTAACTAGAAGAATTACCTCATAGAATTTAGCTATCATTAAATATATTTTTTGATTGATAAATCGTATTTAATTATAATAGTAAAAGGATGTAAAAAAATTGGTTGGACCTTAAGCTCGTGAAAGTTTGACACCCCTGCGGTGAGGCGTCACCGCGTCAGGCGGCGATATCGGTCGGGCCGGGCGTGATCCCCACCGCGTGTCGCGTGGAAACTGTGTCATGTCTCTCCTCTCTCAGTAAAAGTACTTTCTTCCAGCCGCTTTCGGAAACCCGTCTAGAACGAATTTCCTCGCCACAGTAACCTTGTCCGAGCACAACGTGACATAAGGCCTACGACCGCGCTTGCCCTGTTATTGAATCGATATAAACTTTCAATCATACTAGTTAGTTCCATACTTAGTTTCTAATTTAGTTTATTATATTGTATATTAGCGGTCGCCCGCGAGTTAGTCATCGTGGATTAAAAAAAATGAAAAAAGTACCCTAAAATATGCTTGCGTGCACAAGCTACCTTCGCGTCAAAGGCCTATTATTTAACCAGTTCCAAAATAAGGATATTTTGGACATTAATATCTTTAAGCTTAAAAATATATCTAGTACAGCACAAAAGTGAACAAATAGTCTAGTCTGCATACATGTCGTAATAATTTGGATAAATGGATATTTCCTGACGTATCTTGATCAAGCCTTGCGGTTAGTATTGCATGAAAACAATTTGACATTTATCATTAATCCAGAGATCGGCATACATAGCTTTTGAGTCACGAATTTCCAACTCGAATTTAAGCAACACCCACTGAGTAACAAATATTCTAAGTGAGATCTTAAAAGCTACAGTAAGAGTATACATAGTGATTCGTTGCTTAAAATAGAACTGAATAAGTCATTTATTTGTTTCGTATTTTAATTCGTACATTTTTGTTCTATTTGTTCTATGAGAGCATCAGTGGCTCAAGGGTGTTAAGTTCGAATCCTGCCATGTACCAATGTGTTTTTCGATTTACGAATGTACATCTATTTGACGTTTTTACGGTGAAGAAAAACATCCTGATGCAACCTGCACATATCAGAAAATAAATTTCAAAGAATATGTGAATTTCCGGGGAGAAAAAGGCGGCGACGTGACTCTCCACCCGTCACCAAAAAAAAGTGGATTGCGGAGGTTCATTTGGCCACACTAAATGGAGGTCAGAGGGGAACGCAGAGACCCCACTCTACCTGCCCCTCTGAGTTATGTGCTTAAGTTTTATTTTTGTTCTAAACAGTGTAGGGTTTGTGTTATGTAAAATACTCGATTTAAAGAAAAACTTTTATTTATAAAGAAATTCAATAACCGATTTCTAAGCACGGTATTTCCCTTTAAAACATTTTGCTATCTCTGTTTTGTCAAAGATAATGACAGGGATATGTTTTACATATAGATTTTAATCTTACAAACCCAGAGTTAATCGAACGACTTTTTACTAGGATGCTTTCACTTTGTAATTGTAAAACCAAACCAAAATGACAGTATTGAAATTGATTATACTAATTTTTCTATATAGACTAACGTAAATTATTTATGTAAATTTTATTATTACCCAATAAAACAAAACTTTCACATCCTTTTTTAGTATCGCACCATTTCATTACATTGATGCGGTAACAAGAAAAAGTCGTCTGAAAACACGTTTCTTTTTAATCTATATTTACCTTCATAACACGTGACAATATATTTCCGATGACCCTAACATAAAAGGTACATAACACGTAAAGTAACTAGATCAATGTCTTTAGGATGTACATATTAGGGAAATGTAACATATCGTTGTATCTGATTGTAACATGATATTGTATATAACGCCATTGAGATGTGACATTGCGAGATTTCTTCTCCTTCTTCGTAACACGTGACAATATATTTCTGATGATCCTAACATAAAATGTATAACATAACAGGTGAAGTAACTAGATCAATGTCTTTAGGATGTACATATTAGGTAATTGTAATAAATCATTGTACCTGATTGTAACATGACATTGTAATCAACGCCATTGAGATGTGACATTGCTTTATGCAATTGCCCTGTGACATTGCGAGATTTCTTCTCCTTCTTCATAACACGTGATAATATCTTTCTGATAACATAATAACACACATATAAAAAGAACATACACAATTTAAAACCTCCTTCTTTTTTAAGTCGGCTAAAAAGTATAATATAACACGTAAAATTACTAGATCAATTTCTTGACGATAAAGATAGAATATATACATATTAGGCATGATTGAAAATGACATTGTATTTAATGTGTTGAGATGTGACATTGTTTTACTTAATTATAGCTGTCGCCCGCGACTCCGTCCGCACAGAAATATAGCCTATGAGTAGCCTATGAGTTCTTCCAGACTATATTCTACATCTATAACATATTTCATTGAATTCCGTTAAGCCGTTTTGAAGATACCTTCTAACAAACATTCGTTCTTCCATCTAAACTTTTTCATTTCACATTAGTAAGATTCCCTTGTGAATTAGCGAGATTTAAAAAAAATGCTATTTTAATGAAACACATCAGAAGTGCGGTAAAGATTTTGAAGATCAAGTAATAATTAAATTACAAAATGTGTCAGTGAGATGTATAGAAAAGTATTACATTTTACACAAGAAAAGTACTTGTGTTAATGACGTCCAAGAAAGCAGTAAGTTTTTTCATTTCATTATTCCAAAAGATTGAATTAATGATGAAATAAATGACAGTGGTATTTTTCCACCTCAAGCGCTCTTACTTACCGTGGGTTTCTGAGACCAATATCCCCGTTTAAAACATATTGAAATCCCTGTTTTGTCAAGAATAATGACAATGAATGAAGACATGTGTTATACAGAGATCGTCTGGGAAACCCACTTTAAGTTTTTCATTTTATAAGGAATATCGATTCTCAGCCGCACCAGTATACTATGTTTTATTTTAAAATTTATTTGAATATTTAATTATTATGAAATAGTCACGGAATAATATCAGAATGTTGATGATATTTTAGTAAAACAAGATGACATTGAACGTCAGGTCACTGAACCCAAATGCACGTTTTTTAATGCCTTCGACTTTCTCTTTTTTATTAGCTCATATACATTTATTATTGTTCAAACTGTAGATATATAAAATGCATATGACATCTATTTATAATTTTACAGATTGCAAATGTTAATCTATAATCGTTAAACTCATCACTGAAAACTGTACAGTTTAACTGACAGTGAAAATTTTGCCTATACACATACGATTTAA